GCCGCCGAGGTGCCGAAGACTGAGGAGCCAGTTGCCGAGGCACCAAAGGTTGAGGAAGCAGCTGCAGAAGCACCGAAGACTGAGCAGCCAGCTGCCGAAGCACCAAAGGTCGAGGAGCCAGCTGCCGAGGCACCAAAGGCTGAAGAGGCAGCCGCCGAGGTGCCGAACACTGAGGGGCCAGTTGCCGAGGCACCAAAAGTTGAGGAGGCAGCCGCAGAGGTGCCCAAGACAGAGGAGCCAGCTGCTGCGGCACCAAAGGTCGAGGAGCCAGCTGCCGAAGCACCAAAGGCTGAAGAGGCAGCCGCCGAGGTGCCGAAGACTGAGGAGCCAGCTGCCGAGGCACCAAAGGTCGAGGAGGCAGCCGCAGAGGTGCCGAGCACAGAGGCACCAAAGGCTGAGGAGCAGCCAGCGGCCGAGGCACCAAAGGTTGAGGAGCCAGCTGCCGAGGCACCAAGGGCGGAGGAGGCAGCCGCCGAGGTGCCGAAGGCTGAGGAGCAAGCCGCCGAGGCACCAAAGGCTGAAGAGGCAGCCGCCGAGGTGCCGAAGACTGAGGAGCCAGCTGCCGAGGCACCAAAGGTTGAAGAGGCAGCCGCAGAGGCACCGAAGACTGAGGAACCAAAAGCTGAGGAGGCAGTTGCAGAGGCGCCGAAGGCTGAGGAGCCAGCTGCCGAGGCACCAAAAGCTGAAGAGGCAGCCGCGGAGGCGCCGAAGACTGAGGAGCCAGCTGCCGAGGCACCAAAAGCTGAAGAGGCAGCTGCAGAGGCGCCGAAGACTGAGGAGGCAGCTGCAGAGGCACCAAAGACTGAAGAGGCAGCCGCAGAGGCGCCGAAGGCTGAGGAGCCAGCTGCCGAGACACCAAAAGCTGAAGAGGCAGCGGCAGAGGCGCCGAAGACTGAGGAGCCATCTGCCGAGGCACCAGAGACTGAAGAGGCAGCCGCCGAGATGCCGAAGACTGAGGAGGCAGCTGCCGAGGCACCAAACGCGGAAGAGGCGGCAGCCGCAGTTGCGCCAAAGACTGAGGAGCCAGCTGCCGAGGC